TCAGCCCCCCAATATCCCTCTCAGGACCCCTAGAACCCCCAAAATCCCTCTCAGGACCCATCTCTAAATTCACCCTCAAAAAAAAAAACCCCACATGGAGACATCTAGGAGCAACACCCCACCAAACACCCACCCAATTCCAGAAACACTCCCTCTGACCACAACCTGTCTCAGGCTGTCCCAGGGGAGGCACAGTGGGCAGAGCACCTGGAACTCACACACTGGCCAGAAAAACCTGAAATACCTGTGTAAGGATTTATAAACTTAGTAAAGATACAGCACAGACTATACAGCATTCTGAGCTTTCAGGAGTAAGTTCTGGTAGACACCTCTGTTTAAATGAAGTGGACACTGCCAGCAGTGATGCATACTTCTATCAACTTTATTTATAAAGAAGTGACAACACTAGAAAACACATTGATAACCAGTGTTTTGAACAGTGATGGTGGGATCTAAAAAAAGTCTGATTAAACTAAACAACCTTAGGTCTTTATCAAGTTGCATATCTGCTAGGAATGGTGAAATGCAAGAGTTTACACCTGCAATATTCCATAATGGAACAGCCACATGATATCAAATATAATCTCCAATTTCCAAACTGGTATGTAAAAAAGCCATCACCGAGTATTAAAAGACCACTGCAAGTTCTTATTGCTTTTTGAGTTAAATAATAATCTTCCAAATAAACCAAAACCCAAACAAATCCCTACAGTATCTTGCTTGTCCTCCTGTTCATTCATAACACTGGAAGCAATCAGTTATTATATGATGCAGCAAAAGAGGCATTTAAAAACACCCAAACAAAACCTATTGAAGTACATGGACATCCCCACCCTCCCCCTGAAACCCACTATAACCACTTAGTGCCAGTAGAGGAGCAAAGCCCAGTAAGACAAAACCAGAAATCTGACTACAGTAAGAAGGAAACACAAAGGGAGATAGAGCTTCCTTATAGATTCAAAATCTGATGTCTTCCAAAACAAAGCACATCATCCTCGTCAATTAAAAACGGAAGTTGCTTTGTATGTATCTAATCCTCACACATGCTGAGTAGTTCTCAAGTCCACTGAGTTCCACTGTGCAGCAGCTGAGTTTGTTTTCAGCAATGCTTCAAGAACTACAGTAATATTCAATGCGCTTTTTATTAAGGAGAGGAGTAAAACAAATGTGTGTTGCTGTTGTTGTTGCCAGTTCAGCATTTCTGCAGCAATTCCGTTTGTCTCTTGCAGTACAAAAGTTCCACCAGCATCAGTCTTCAGAATCATCCTCAGAAGCTGTTGGAACAACACAGTATAATCAGAAGCCTTGACAAAGGTTTTTGAAATTAAAGCACTTTAAGATGAGGAAAGGAAATTGAGGTCATTTTGTATTAGATAGCTGGTTGTAACACCCACCCAACCCTTGTGTACCCACACAGCTGAATTTTTTAATGCATCTCAGGTCTGCCAAACACAGCATTTCAAAGCAAAACTCAACAGTACAAAATGCAGTGTCCTCCTGCTCTTCTTCCTCAAGGTAAAAGGAAGAAAACTTAATTACGCCAGAGATTCAACTTTTGGGCAGTGTTTACAGTGGCTAATTCCAACAGTAGTCAGAGGAGGATATATTCAATCCATGCCAACACACCCAACACCAGGGAAAGAAATGACTCACAAAGTTAACATCTGGATACTAAAACACCTAGAAAGGTTCAGCATCTAAACAAACCAAGACTCTTAATTTTTTACAAATACATATGTTGCTTAACGCAATTAACTCAGGCCTACTTGAAGCAGCTCCTCTCTCCACCCCTGTTCTTTCAGCATATGCAAAATGAACATGAAGCCCACGTATGCATAGGACTTGGTCATTGCAAGGTGAATTAAAAGACAAATACACACTTGTCAACTACGACAGCAAAGTCAGTACACACATCCTACATCAGGTTGTAAAGCACCAACTTTGTAACAGGAATTTCCTCTGTCCTCTTAAGCAAAGTCTGCAGGCAAGAAAGTATTTACACTGGAGTAACTTGTTCCATCCCTGAACACAGAAAGAAGAAGAGTCTGACTCCTTGTTTCTTCAGTTCTTAGAAATGTTACCATAGTGCATCAATGATCAATCTAAAACTCAGTATTCCTCACCTGCAAGTTAAAAGCTGAATCCAATATAGATTGAATTAAGGTGCAAAATGACACTCATCAATTTTTCATGTAATAAGGATGCACACAACTTAGGAATTAATTCAGAACTCAAGTCCACCTTTGCTCTGAATACAGAAGTAATCATCTTGAACTAAAGCTTACAGGCACACACACACTCCTTATCATACTCTAAATGCATCCTGTACACTGAAAATTCATATACAAACTTTGAATGTTGACAGACATTCACATGCACACCGGGAAATAAAAACAGCAGATCAACTACTCTTCCCTTGCCTACTCATCATGCCCAGAAAGAGATTCAAGATACATTTACCAGAAGTCAGCATAGAGTTTGGAATTTGAGCACACTGAGAGAGCCATTAGAGGAGAGTTAGGCTAATCCTTTGCCAAAACTGGCAACAATTAAACTTCATTCACAAGGTCTGACAGGTCTGACAAAGGAACACACACACAACTGAAGTGTGTGTGAACGGACAAAAGAAAGAGAAGTGAGCAAAAAACAACAGGAAGAAGAAGAAATGGCAAAAGAAGTATGTCATTTAAATGCAGTGAAATTCAACTCTGTTTCCTTCCTATTAGTACTCATGTAAAAGGCAACAACCCCAAGGTCAGCACTAATCCCACAACCACAGAACTACAATAACCAAACTGTAACTGGTGAGGAATTTTGTTATCACTTGCAGATGACACTTCTGTGGTCTAAACACCTCTATGCTGTTGGGAAATTAATCATGGAGAATTAAAACCAGTTCCCCCTCAGAATAATTCTACTGATAATGGAAAAAGCACTGCTGGCTGAAGAACAATTGTCAGTAATTATGTTTGGTATTATGAATCTTGGCAAGGAGGATTGTACTCATTTAGCTTTGAGTTGTTCTAATGGGAGAGGAGGGAAGAGGGGAAGCACCTACTTTCAATATCTTCCATATGTGCCTGAAGAGTTCTTGCAAGGTTAATAAACTAGAAACAAGGCAGAGAGAGAGTAGTTTAAAAGTTGCAAAGTTATCTGCAGACATTTGCAACAAGTTAGCAACGTTTTCTTGACTTTTTACATCCCAAAGCTTCATGCCAGACGTCGGTTATCCTACCCATTTGCCCAACATACAAAGATCAATGCAAAATTTAATATAAATCCCCAGACATTAGACTTCAAATTGCTACTGCACACTTATTTCAGCTTCCACTGTATGTCAAATATCTCTGGTAGCAGCTAGTGGCATCATCTTCATGTCCTCTAGCCTGTAAAACACATCAATTTTGTAGGCAGCACACAGAAACAAGTGCCAGTTTAATGAAAACATTCCTAGGAACTGTAATGCAGAAAATCATGGTAAGGATTTGCATTAGTTGGATCCATTTCATTTACTTCACTACTCATATGACAAAACACCGCCCTGTGACTGAAGGAGGCTAATGAAAAATGCAGAAATACAGTTCTTGCTTACAGTTAAACTCTTAAGACCAGGATTACTATGAGGCAAAGGTGGCAGTTTAATGTTAGAAATATGTGGTATCAAAACCCAAAGACAAAATCCCTAGGAATAAAACTCCCTTAAGCAACTTTGAAAGCCTCAGCCAAGTGGTTTTCTTTCATCCCTGGCAGTTTACATCACTGTTTCAGTGACAGTGCAGGTGTTGAGACACAGCAAGGACGAGGAGCTTCCAAAGCTTAGCTGTGTGCTCGATATCAAACTCCAGCAGCAGTGCTCCCACTGGTTCAAACTGCAGGGTCACACAGGTGTGTGACACCTCCTCTGATGAAAAAACTGTGAAAACATCTTCTGCAGTACCTTCAAGCCAATGACCTGTACTGGAGGCTTGTTTAGACATGAGATGGTGTGCCTGTCTCGACACTCGTGGCAGCAAAACTGGATGTTCATTTGTAGACCATGGAATACAAGCTCTGCATTAGATGCTCCAGAAAAGAGGACCACTACTCCAATCCATTTGGAGATCAGAGCACAGTCCTGCCCCTTCCCCAGAGGTCTAGCACCTGCTAGCAACCAACCATTCCAATAAGCATTGGGTAAGCTTAACATTGTCACTTCTTTGTATGTAAGTAAAAATAACTGAAAATAATCAGCTTTTCAGGAGCTGCTGACGAAGAGCACTGATTTACTACCTAGTATCAAATAAACATGTAGAATACAGCATTTCTGAGGGAGTTACTTTGCAGAAAGGAGTTTGTATGCTGTTCCCTTACTGGTAAAATATGTAGGTACCACATTTCTAAGCCAAACCACTTAAGCGACAAGAATCCAGTCAAACATAGCTAATGGTTTCTGGACTATGCCAGAAAAATCATACTGCAGCTCTAAATCAGTTTCAGAATGTTAATATTCAAGGACATATTCAGGCATAATGCAGAAGACAATCATTGCAGGCTGTGGACCTTTGCAATGTAGACTGGCATACAAGGAAAATTAAACAGGTAAGACAGTCCAACACTCCTAACTGCATGTTTTGTACAGGGAGAGGTGAACCTCCCAGTTCTGCATAAGTTCACAATAATCATGATGACATCCATGCAAACCCAGGAATTACCAACAGCAGCTGCAATAACACATGGTGTGAGTGCACTGACCATCTCACACCTCAGTTTGTTTCTGGGGTGCACAGTTCCTAGGTCACTCAAGGCAACAATCAAGTTCCAAGCATGAGCAATGCCTGCCAGAAAATCACTGAGTACTTACTCTGACTCGCGTGCTGGCCTCATTGGCAGTTCCTAACATATCAGAAAAGCGCTGCTCACATAAGTGTAACAACACTACAAGGTAGAGACCAGAGCTGATAAATTCATAGTCTGCCTTGAAGGAGATCAGAAGAAACATTCACAATGTCAGTAACATGTCTGCACACACGATTCAAGAAGTAGAACAAGAATTAACTTTTACTGGAACCTTCATGGATTTATCTCTAGTTGTTCCAAGAGAATCAAGGAAATGCATAACTAAGAAACGTTAGTTACTGAAAAGCCACTTCTACTTCTGGTTCTTTCCACCCACCCTTGACCTACATGTTACCCTTGAAGATCAACAGAGTCCTATAAATAAAATCTCAGTCAGCATGATCAGTTCACAGGAAAGAACATGCAAATCAGAGTATTAAATCCCTTGGGAAGATAAACCCAATAAGCTTTGCTGGTTCCTTCTTTGTGGTCCTAACACTTTACAGAAAGCCAAAATTAAGGGATATATTTTAAGAATGTTATGATGATATAAATACTTTGACTAATTCTTTTCCCTGCTTAGATAAAGAATAGCTTTAAAAATGCTTCTGCTGACCAAATAATTTAGAGTCAAATCCTTAGGAAAAAATTTCAAAGCTCTTATTTCTACTGAAGTCTAGTGACTGCAGCAAACAATCAGCAGTACTAAAACACAGGATGATGGCACTCTTGGGAAAGCCTCTCCAGAGTCTGTTCCAAGTGACAGGAGTTAGAGTACCAGGGGAAGAACTTACTCTAAATAATAATGAAATCAGAGCTTGATGTTTTGCCTCCAAACTGGGGCCACTTGGTATTTTCTTTCAATCTCTGAGGTATGCTAATATCCTCACAGTCTTTATATATTCTCAGAATGCAACCCAGAGAACAAGGAAAACCCTCTAAATAAAGTTCATTAAAATAATACCAGCTTTTTGTTACTTACTCATTTTTAAATACTACACAATCCAGTCGTTCTAAAATAATGTATTTAAGAAGAGTAATACTAGAGGGCCTTGAGTAATTTTTGAGTTAAGAAATTACTTGAAGAAGCAGTCAGAAGCTGCCAGAAAAGAGGTTAGTTTCTACCACTCTAATGAAACAAAATAAATGTTTGCAATGGGATGTTTAAAACAACTGCTAAAGTGTGTTAAAAAACAGCTGAAGGCAACAACTCATGGCAATGTGAAATTCAGCTTAATCATGCTAGAATTCACACTGCACCTACATGGCAGAGACACTGTGGTCTGCAAAGCTACATGACAGACCTGCAGCTAAGAAAAGAAATATATTACACTTACTGAAAGCTCAGCTACAGGAAGCAAAGCAGGAAGACAGAACTAGTCTGAATGTTGAGAAGAAAAATCTGTTCCATGTTAACATTACTTCGTGTGCATAACAATCCCTCGGAAATGGAGATGCATTTGCCTTCCCTAATGAAGATTGCCCTCCCAGCACTAAACCAACACTTACCAAATGAGGTAAAATATACTAACTTGTTCATTTGCATGTGCCCTATAGAGTTCATGAATGTCAAAGTCTTCCAGATTCAGATGCAACTTCTCCTTGCACAGTTCACAAGTTGTCACTGCTTCCAAAGAAGAACCTGGGGGGGAGTGGGCAAGGGGAAAGTCAGGGTCAAGTTTCAACAATCTAGGACATAAGACACAATCACACAAACATTACAAACCGTAAAGCATCTTTGGCTTTATTTTTCAGAGCAAGGTTAGAAGAAAAGGAACCCTTTAGTACACATGTAGTGACTGCTGCTGCTGTCAGAATTTACATATATAATGTTTGTTCTCTATCCAGCTGCAGCTATTATGCTTCATGTTCACTCTGGACACAACATGCTCTTATGCAGACCTGGAATAAAGTAGCTTCTTGGGCTTTTTGAACTCCACCATGTACCCAAATACAAACAGAAGTGAAAAAATTCCAGAATAAAGTTATTGTTAGAGTAACATTTTGTCTTAAGTATCTGTTTTAAAACAAGCTGTTCCATAAGTAACAAGAGTAACAGAAGTTGATGGGTGATCTTTGTCCTTATGTTAGATATTTCTAATTAATTTCTTCTATAGGCTGAGGCTTCTAATACATCCCCTACTCTGACATGTGCCCTCTGATACTGAATAAAAAGCTAAACAGATGCTACCACCTTCCAGTGGTAAAATGTGCTCCACGATTTTCATGTCTACTACCAAGCTACTTATTTCTTAAGAATACTGTGGATATAAACCAGTTATAAACTGGTCAATTTATTACAAAAATATTTGTGCTGTGTGCAATTTCTAAAGTGTTTCTTTAAAAATTACATATGCACTTTGAAGCAATTTTTGAACAAGCAGTTTTAAAGTCCCTTGAAAAGGAGTTAGTATTTTTCGGGAAAAAAAGTAAGCATAGCCAGAGTTGGAAAACATGTTTGTATTTTCAAATTCCTATCACTCTGCTACGGTCAGCTTGGCTATAAAAGTCTTGGAAAGCAAGAAGCTTATCAATAAGGAAGGGTGGAGAACAAACACCAGCCAAAGTGGTACCACCCAGTGCCAGAGCAGTTCTAAAGCCACACTTGTGCACTGCTGTATTTTGTGCAATCTCTTAGCAGACAACCCCAAAAATGTAATTCTCTGAAGGATAAATGCAGTTCTTGGAACTCCTCACATGACAAGCTGCACACACACGATAAGCCTGATACTGTTGTTTGCCCCCACTGCTCATTTTTCAACTCAATACCTGAGGAAGAGCCTCCCTGTGTAACTGCAAGTCTCCACTGGTCTAGAGTCTGCTTTACCTGAATTAATCTTGGACTGCAGCCATTTTTTCATGCACTCCTGGTGGACATACTGCAAACTTCCAGTGCATTTGCACGGCTCTATTAACAGGTTGTCAGAACTTGAGGAGGACATCTGACAGATTCTGCATAAGTCACCCTCTTCATCTTCAGAATCTTCTAAAAGCAGGCTGCATAGGAAGGAATACCAACAAACACTATGACATCTCATGTAAGACTTTTTGTAATGAAAATTCCATTCATCAAACTGTTCTCAAACCTATGAGGATTAAAATAAGTTTCTGCAAAGACAAAAGTCAGAACACAGGTGACAGGGGACTGAGCTGCCACCTCTTCTGAAGGAAAGTTTACTTTCTGCATCTCATGACTGCAGAAATCCCTCTCGTGTTAAGACAGGTATATGTTACAATCTCAAAAGAACATACTAATTTACCTCTCCTTAATTTTCTGGAGTCTTTCCGGATCTCTTGAAGGTGGTATTTTAGACTTGCCACTTTCCTGTCCATCAGACTGATTCCAGCCAGAGGGAATAATATCTACAGTTATCATAAGATTGTCAGACAGACTGCTTCCTAATATTGGAGGCACTGCAAAGCGAAAGAGAGAACCAGGCAGAATTCCAGAGCTTCTTCTACTGTGGGCTGAATCTGGTGGGGAGGCAGTAGCTGCAGAAATACCAGACACTGCAGGTGTTGGTGGTCTGCTCACAGAAGCCCGGGGAGGGCCATCTGATGCTTCAAGAGAGGCCTCCTCACCTGACTCTCTCCTCCTAAAGACATGTTGTGACCTAGCAGTTGTATCAGAGGCAGAGATCCTCGCGGATTCATCTCTTCCTTCTCTTCTTCTTCTGGAAAAGAGAGGTGTACATCTGTTCCTCAGAGATGATGACAACCAGGACCCCGTGCTCCTGCTTTCAGAGTCTGGTCTGTAGCTTTCCCCGTCTGAATCAGAGCTGCGATTCTGGGAAACTCCTGACAAGCCCCATCTTCGCCCAAGGAAACTAAACCCCTGAGAAGCTTCAGATGCCTGAAGTCCTTGAACTTCCAGAGTTGCAGCTCCATTACTACTTGACAAGGAAGAAGCTTGAACTCTTGGGACCACCGGTGCCTCTTCAGAGCCTAATGACCTTGTATGCAATGAGTCTTGGCTAGACCTTCGAGAGAAAAACGTAGATGACATGCTGGATGCTAAACGAGACAGCAGCTGCCTGGTGGTGCGTCTCCCCTCGCTGTCAGCCGCAGGCTCCGTCAGCGACCTCTGAGAGGACAACACCCTGTCAGAGCCACCTGAGGAAGGGGCTTCATCTCTAATGGCAGTAAGAGAAAATGCTGGCTGCACTCTCCTCTGAGGAGATTCCAATTCACTTCTCCTTTGTCTGGAGGAATAGCTGGATCTTGAAGAGCTCATGTTAGAGTCTCTGTTGAAAAACGATGGCTGATGATCAGAAGGCAACGGGCGGTTCATGGATGCATTCAGCCTCAAAGTGCTTAACGAGGTCTCTTTTGGTCTGGCTCCCTCTGCATATGAAGAGGCAGGCCTGTCTTGAAGATCTGTTGCAGAAAAGCAGAGGAAAACACTATGACAAGATGCGCCCTAACACATCAGGAAACATTCAAGGTCAGGTCCAACAGGGCTCTGAGCAACCTGATCTAGTTGAAAATGTCCCTGCTCATTGCAGGGGTGTTGGACTAGATGGCTTTCAATGGTCCCTTCCAACCCAACCACTCTGTGATTCTTACAAGCCTATTTTCTGTAAATACTATCTCAACACACTGAGAAGAATTCTGTGGCAGCACTGCAGTTAACATTGCACGGGGCAGCTGAAGCAGCTAGGATCAGCTGTTCTCCTTCCCAAATGGCTAGATTTGGGGGTTGTGGTGGGAAGAGGGGGAAGCAGGAAGCAGCTGAAGCTCACTAACCTCAACAGAAGGGAAACTGCTTCAACTACTTAACAAGCATAGGTAGATGAAGGTAAGAGACACAAGTTTTCTCTATGTATTCTGCAACTGAAACTTTTCACGTTTGGACTTTTGGTGATTTGTTTCTCATGGGTGCTGCACTGCAATCACTATTGTTGAAGCCCAGGTTTGTGCATCTGGCAGATTCTAACTAAAGAAACCTCTGCACAGATGCTAAGCATCTACTGTATGGTTTTGATGACACAGCAGGAAACACAGTTGGGAGCTATTTTTATTGCATTTAACAGCAGCACTACTGCTAGAAATGCAGCATGGACAGTACAAAGCAAGGTTGTCCACCAATTCACTTCTTCCATCAAGTTCTACCAGGTAAATCAAACTGTCCCCTTATTCAAGAACTGTAGAGTATGATGACATTAAAACCTACTCTTCTGCTGTGGCAAGACTGTGGGATGAAATATGGGACTGCTTTTTACCTTTTCTGCTTACCTTCTATACTTATAAAACAGCATTTAAAAAAAACTTCTGCATTATAAAATACCACAAATACATCTGGACTGGGTGACAGATCAAGGCTGGTGCTGAGTTTCTCCCTAGAGAGCTCCAGAAGGCCATAACACTCTGAAGAACAGTGAAAATTACAGTGCAGAAGTCCATACTAGCAGCTGCCATGAGATACACTTCTCACCTCATGCAGAGTGTGTGGCTGCTTATTTTCAGAGGTAATAGCAATCTTCCCTAATAACCACTAGATAGTAGAACCCAAATGAAAGGAGATACTACACCATGGGCACATTTCAGAAAAAAACTTTCGTGGGTCAGTCAGAGTAGCTTAATTTCCTTTCCAATACCTACATATAAAATGATCTCAAGATGAAGAAGAGCAGAGCCTTACTGACTAATCACACAGTTAGTGGCAAACACCAATATCACTTTCACATGACTGAAAGCACCTACAAACTACACCATTCATATGTCCCTTGATGGTTTGGTCAACACAAGGGAAGTGGCCAACCAACTTCATTTCAAAGGACATCTTAAAATTAAGTAGATATTTGGGGTTTGTGTTCTGACTGAAGCATTAAAAGAACATGTTCAGAGCAGCTGTGGCTGCTCCATCCCTGGGAGTGTTCCAGGCCAGGTCAGATGGGGCTTGGACCTCCCTGGGCTGGTGGGAGGTGTCCCTGCCCAGGGCAGGGGGTGGAATGAGATGGGCTTGAAGATCCTTCCAAACCAAATCATTCTGGGATTCCATGAATATGTGAAGAAACTAAGAGGCATACAAACTGCAGGTTTACAAGCTTTCAGCTGCACGATACATACATGCTGAAGGTGAAAAGTCACTGTTTCTGTAGCTGGGATCCATCAGGTTATTAGCAGACAGATCTGTTCTTCTTTCTAACTCCCTTTGCTCTCTCACCAGCTCAGTCCCAAGGGAGCCAAGCATGACCGATGAAGACCTAGGAATCCTACTGTATCTCCATGAGGAATCTAGGAAAAAAAGTAAATAAATCCCCTGGGTTTATAATCATCTAAAAATCCAAAGCTGGCACTTCTGTGCATTTTCGTTGTTCCATCCCAAGACAGTTTAACATCATCACTAAGCTGATCAAGTGTCCAGCTGCCAACATACAGCCAAGAGTAAGCAGCACTCTGCTGATGCTGGCACTTAATCCTGCAGGGAGTTAGCTCTGAAAGCTAACCCAAAGGAAGAAGTAGTAATACTTTTGTGAAGAGCCAGACCCATTAACACTCATACAGGACAGAGGAGGAAGAGAAATAACGTCTTGCGTCCTAATGGCAGCTGGTTTACAAACAGGTTTCACAATACAGAGAAACAATAAACTGAGACTTAGTAAATGCTGCCATTCTACTTGATGCTACTTAAATGCTTCTAAAATTAATTTTCCATAAATACAGCTGAAGCTTAAATGCAATTTAGACACAACTTTAAGAATAATAACTGATACTGGTCTTATTCATATTACAGAGTAAAACACATCAGTGTAAAAAGGGATCTTGTTTTTTGCTAACAGCTCAAACAACTACACAGAGAAGTGTACATAATTCACCTGTGGACAAAATTCTTGTTCCAAAAGTGTGTTCTTCAATGGCTCTGAAAAATTCACCCTGATTTTATTTCACTGCTAACTCAAAAACAAATGTAAGCACTCACTGGTCAGCAGTGTGATGGCCAACCAATTTAGAAATGGAAAGACAAACACCATAATGAGAAATGCTACTGGTTGTCATTCCATTAACAGTGTAAGAATTCATCAATAAGAGTGAGTTTTGAGCAAGAAGTTACTAACTCTAATTTGGAGGGCTGTGTGGGTCCATAGGAGGATATAACAAGAACATTAATCCATACTCACATGGGGAATCTGAATGAGTGTAATGGTCTGTTTCAAATTGTTCTAGAAATATTTTCAGTGTAAGTTTTTGTCTGTTACTTCCTGACCTTCAGATCTTTGCTGGCATACTGTTTAACTTCTACCTACCCAGGTTTCACCAACTAACTCAGAGCTTTAATGAAAATCTCATGTTTTTCTGGAAGAGCTCTTAGAATGTTTCTGTGTGTGTTGCCTACAGAGTGAGCTTAGGTCCTGCTAAAAAAAGAACTCTTACTTCCCTGACCCCCAGCCACCGTGCTCTAACCAGCCACGACACAAGCAACATGCTTGGAACATATTACTAAGTATGGTAAAGATTTCCTTTCTGCTGTCTCTGGCACACACTGGTGTACCAACACAACCTGACTCATGAAATAAGAGCAGCTGCACTCATTTTTTCTTTGAAATCTGAACCAATTAAGACATATTTGAGACATGACGTTCAGCTTTACTGCAGAAGGAAGCAGTACAGGTAATAGCTCTGAAATGATGCAAGTACACTCAGGTTTCCAAAGGAGCATGTTAACAGCACCCACAGCACTTTGGATACTGCTGTCATTGTGAACATGCTCTTCTGATTGACACAGGTTTTCATTATTTAAGAAGAATAAAAACATAGTATTACAAAGCAAGTTTTTAAAAACTTGATAAAACCTCAGCTTGCTACTCAGACAATTTTGATGCAACTCAGCTCGAGTAATCACCCTCTCACCTGAAAAGGCAGCCAAGCCATTACTTCTCACAGAAGAGGTAGATGTACAAGACAGCTTAGGTCTCTTTGAATCACTATCTTGCTGCTGGCTATGCAGTCTTGAATATGCTCCCTGAGTTCTCTCAGACTCACCAGAACACCCAGATGTAAAATGAGAGGAAGAAGATGCAGACTGAAATAACATTGAAAAAATAAATTACACAGTATTTCAGAAATACACTGAACAAAAGTGTACATCATGCAAAACTCACAAAAATGGTATAGAACAACTTCAAGATACAAACCCCTTTATTTAAAATGATGTAGAAATTATGCTTCTGCTCTTCGTTAGTATTTCCAGGTCTACTCAATACACTTAAAACCAACAAAACCAGTTTCTGTAACATTCAGCATTACTCTTCCTTTATAGATAGATGTGGCTTGTAGGGGGGAAAGATATTCCTGACCTGTAAGATGCTATAACCACAATCAAATATAGCTTTACAGACCTCCAAAGGAACATAATTTTCCTGTCCAGAAATGGCTAAAACCAGTCAACTACATTTTTTTATTTACCCATTTAAATAATCCAACTTATTTTTTACCTACCTAAAATATAACTAGCTAATGAGTCAGCTAAGGAAACCGTTTGGAACAGGTTTATTTTGACTGCAATAAGCTTAAGTGCAACTGAAGCAGTTCAGAGTAAAGAATGGATAGAAACCAATTTTTGCAGTGTACAGTACTGAAATAAAGCAGTTTTCAGAAACTAGTAGTACAATACTTAGAAAAAAAACCTCTGGGATAGCCCATAAAACTCTTCATGTAGTTACTTGCAGCCAAGACATTCATCTTCTATTTGAAATGGTTTGGGTTTATTTCTTCATATAAAAAAACCAAAACATTGAGCTCAATCAAAAAGCTTAATTGAGCTGTTTGTCTTCCCAGAGAGTATGAACAACCAAGATCCTTGACGGATCAACCAAACTAGAGGAGATGTTCTAGCTCTGTTTTGTTTTGTTACAGTTTTTACTAAGTTTAAGCCACAGCTTTTTACTCTTCCAAACTATGAAGTATCTAAGTAGTTCTCTCATCCCATCATAAAAGAGACAGGGAGACACAGAAACTACCATGGAAACCCACGTACAAAGCCAGGTTAATCTCCCTCATGAATCCTCTGTTTAACATCTATCATTGAATCATTTATTATTTGATAAGTGGATGTTTCAGGGTGTCCCCTGCAATGTTCACTTGCATCAGAATTTAAGAGAAAATTAACCTTAATGGGGAAGAAAAATGTTTTCATCTTGAAAACCCTATAGCACCGACATAAATTGGGTAGTAGACCACTTAGAACCACATCCTCCATTTGCACTTGGACTATGTGTAGACACCTACAACTCTTCCCCTGATGGCCAACACTGCACACTGCCTCCTCCCTCCCCAACCCACTTGTCTCAGTGTCCTCACCTTCAAGTCACCTAGGAGAGCAAAGACCTCTAAGATGTTAAGCACTCTTATATACCCAAACATCTTTCAGCTTGAAGTGAGCAGAATTTTCGCTTGTTCACTATCTTCCCACCAAACTTGTTCAGTTTTCTGCTTTTTCCATCTTACTATTTCTACTGCAATTCAAACTGGTTTACTGTCACTCTACAGTACATGAGCATGTCACGAGCAAACTATTTCTGGAGTTACACCGGCACATTCTGGAACCCAGTTAAGACAAGCTGTTAAGACCTGAGCCTTGAATCTCAGGGAACAATTTTCTCCATTTTCTTTCACAGTATGCTGTGAGCAGCATGAAAGGCAGCCCAGTCAGACTGGACTACACCTTCCCAATTCCATTTCCTAAAGCAGATCTCCAAACCCATGAACCTAGTGTTAACTCCCAACACTGGTACCATCCAAAAAACACACCCCCAGAAATATCTGATGGAACAAGCTGAGTACAAACAGTACTAACTTTGCCACCCATGGGACTGTAACACACGTGAGATCCTCATCTTCCCTTCTTTCTTTTTAAATGGATACTTGCAGAGCCGCTCCAAATTTATTTCTTAACTACTAGTAAAACTAATATACGTTATTATTTTCATCCTCTGAATAATTTCTTAACATGACTGTCCTCTCCATCTTGACTTACTAAGATCTACTTGTCTAGAAACATTATTGAGGCCCTGCTAGCAGTTTTTCAGATTGGGAGGGCTAAGTAAAACCCTGGTTTTGTGCCTGGGCAGGGAGGTTGGACCAGATGATCCACTGTGGTCCCTTGCAACCTGATCCATTCTATGATTCCGTGAGTTTTAAATATCTTTTTGTCAAGTATTACACGTTAACAGTTCTCACCAATCTGCTTCTGCTTCCCAGGAATCTTCCAGAATGTGGATGATCAAGTGTCCCTGAGTAGCGAGTTGGAGAGGACGTTGTAAGCTTCCAAGGAGTTTCATGGGTGTCTCTTTCTCGAATTCCCCAGTCTCTACTGGAACTGTTCAACACACTGGATTCCTGCAGAACAACATGGTTATCATATGCATCTTGTAATGCAAAATTAACTCAGCATCAGACCTGAATATTGAAAACACAGTGACATGGAGGTAGTAACCCATATGGAAACCTTTAATAGGAAACCTCGAGGGATAGCCAAGAAGAAATGAAAACAGGCTTAAGACAGAACCACTGGAAAAAGGACAGATTTTTTTTGTAAAGTACTTTATAGCACTGATCAGGTCCTTCATCTGTCCTCTCATTTGACTGTGGACAATAGAAAGTTGAAGCACAAGGGTTTTGAGGCATTACCCTAACTCAGATACTGCAGCGCTAGGGCAGAATTAAGGGCCTCACTTTCAAGTGTTATATAAAAAACCCACACATGTAGAAAGAGTCTCCATGACAACAGAAGCATCTATTTGGCCACTGAAGCAAGCTACCTGCCTTGTGCTGGTCACCAGTTTCAATAGCAGAGAGCAGTACAAAGAGGTGGGGGGAAAGAAGAAAAAACATCTCTTGGGCCTACTAACATAGTTATTTTTACATAAGGAACATGATCTGTCGTAGGAAAATATAGATGGTACAGCAAATGTAAACTGTGTCATCAAGTTATTATTCCTTAAAAATGCTGCTGCATATTACACAGTATCTTCTCCAAGTCTGAAATGCTTCCCTTTTACTACTACTTCAGTTATTTATTTCTCTGCTGCCTATTCCAGTATCCATCATTATGCTATTGGCAGGGAAGGCCTGCAAATTAAGAAGTGTTAATTCCAATTACATTTCATGCAAGCATCAAAAATAGATTTCCATTTTTCACTACAAAATTGAAACTTATGTGTCTCTGAGCTTCTTATTAATCACTAACATTGAAGATGACCCTAAAACAGTAAACAGCACCAGGTATAAAACCACTTTGGGCTTTGGAAATAAGGGAGTTTTAGCAGCCTATTTCAGACACAGCTCAAAAATACTGATTCCAGGATTTGATATGCCTACCAAACTAAGACTGTTTGGCAAACCAGGCATGCAAACAAACAGTTTGCTGCATTACCCCAGAACAAAGTGCTCAAATTATCCAAATCTGATGAAGTCTGCAGGGCAACCAACAATAAATGTTCTCTTTTCGTGTTTTCTCTTCCAACATAATCAGGAGCTCTAATCCTTCCCTGGGCTACTAAGGCAAGTTTCTAATAATTATATTTGGAACCATTTAACATACAAATCTATCTTTAAGAGAACCTAAGGGATGAAGCTGTACACTACTAGTTACACTGACTCTCACTGAACAGATTATCTCTCCATTCTCCTCCTATGAACTATTAATACTACAAACACAGTAGCTGCTGTTACCATTTCTTGAACATTTCTCGAAAGCTGTAAGATTAGGATTTAAAAAGCTGAAGAAATTTTCATGGCTCATCGTCTCACAAGCAAAATTTATCCTGAAAATAAAGTATTAGCCAGTGTATTTTCGAGACTTGGTAGGATTCATCAGATTAATACATCACTTCATCTATGGATAATCTGCCTGCCTGTGGGCAGAAGAATACACAATTGTAAGATAAAAGTAAAGCCCTCTTGAAATGTCCTTAGTATGAGCCACACCTGCAGTCTTAACTGATCCTGAAACACTGGCCTTTCCCTTTCCCTTCCACATGTTCAGATTCTGAAGACATGAGAATTTCAGCTGAAGCGTCTGGATCACCATGGTAGAAATTTTTTTCTCATACCATTACACTCATTTGATTTTTTTAAATTTTAAATCACCTAGAAACAACACTATCACATGCAGTGATTAGTTTACAATTATCCTGTTTGTTATACCCCCTGAGATGTGCAGAAACTAGTACCCAGACCAATGTCAAAAATGCATGACATACATGAACTCATACCTATATGAACAGAAGGGAAGAGGAAGAACAAACTCACTGAAGAGAAACCTTTCTTTTTAGCCTTAGTTGAAACCAAAAACTCCAATTTCGACTGCTCTGTCCCAAAAGTTTTTGAGTTCAGCTATAATCAAGTATTCTCTGTAGAAATTGCTCTGCATTAAAACCCCAAGTCTCTGAGTTCTTTCCTCTTTATACCCAAAGCATTACTGACAGTTATATGGTTTTCCTCTCTAAATGACAAACCTCAAATGATTTGCAACTGAAGTAGCTCTTAGTATTTTAAGGTCGGATGAATGGATTGACAAAGTGAGAAGGTCTGCTCTTTCCATTCCTATCTGACTGAACTTAATCTTATTTGGACACTTGTTTCCTCTTGCCCCACTCCCTGTAATCCTAACCTGCAAGGAATAATGGAATTTGTTCCAACCAGCTCTGTAAATCCCAAAGATTAGTCAAGAGAGGGAGCTTCCCTAGGCTCATATCGCTAACCACTGGTCTTGTGTAAGGAGCTCTCAGACTACCTTCTGCCAACTGGGAGCAGAAAGAAGGGACACAACATAATCTTCCATAACAAATATTTTCCCCTCTGTCTTAACTGGAAAGTGTTACCAAGATCATTCCTCAGATTAGAAGCACTTTGCTCAACAGGCAATAGTGAAAAGCATACACAGTGCAGTGAACACACTGCAGTTCATGTAATAAAATAAATAATTTCAGGTACATTTGTTAAAATTTGGTAACAGCAGTAACAGATCTGACTTCACAACATCAGCTGAGCTAAAAACTCATCTTCTGATCAACAGTTTTCAGTATCTGTACACTGTGTCCATAAATCCCTACAAAAGAGTCAGACCACTTGAATTGGTTTTACTGAGCAGCCAGTGACAAATATGTAGGAATCCAAAGAGCAGAAGTGACTGATATTGCTGCCCTTACACATTCCCTGCAGCCTATATACTAATGAACACGTGCATGCTAGAGATAACAAAAATATAACACACAGACATGTAACTGTGCTAAAAATAATGTTCTATTACTTGTAAAACTGAAAAAGGCATTATATAAGTGTCCCAGATAACTTGTCAGCAGGGACCAAACTCCTAACCATTTTTTTTAAACATATGAACATTTAATCACTAAGTTAAGTTTCTGCAACTTCAAAGAACAATATGGGCTTACATTTCTGTGCCCAGAATTGAGGTGAGAATTGCTGACAGAAGCAGAAAACCCACTAAGATAACTGAGCCAAACTGCTGCCTGTTGCTTCCAAGTGCCCCGAACAATTTCTAAAGCAGTTTAATCTCTACTTTCCATAACACTCTCCCAAAGTGACAGTACCTGCAGCGTGACCCTAGGAGCTATGCCTAAAGGTCCTCTTTCACATCCCCAAAACCAAAGGCAGTAGGTGCTGGGTAGGTACAGCCTACTTAGCTCTGAGACACAACACAGCCCTGTACTTTTCACATCATCAGCACATCCAGTGTAACACCCTGAACACAAAGTTCAAACAAACCCCAGACCTCCCCCAAGAGAAAGCTCCATTTACCCAGGCCTGAGATGCAGTGACTCCTGCCAAAACAGACCCAGAGGCCACTCCATTCATCAAACAGCTATTTCTAAAGGTGCACTTACTAACAGGAGCAGGTAAAAATAGGTATCTAGACCTACCAGTTCACCGAATACTGTCATTGGCCTGGTTATTAAATACTTGCATTTTACTTATTTTTGTCTCAGTATTGGGGCTTTTCTTGGTGAAAAACACACTTCAGATTAACTTATACTTCACAAAAAGAGAAAAAAACACATTACCTGGTATCCAGACTCTAATCTCCATGAAGATTCTCTTGTACTATATGCACCAGCTAAACTGTTTCCAGTCAATGTTCGGGATCCTAGAGGGGAGCTGGAAGCCTGAACAGATAACTTGCGAGGAATCCTTGAGGGTTTTGACTCCATCTCTGTATCCTGTACAAGGACACACTGATTATTTCTCCTCCTAGAAGTAGGGACCTCACGCAAAACAGGCACAAGTCATTCTGAGTGTAACATAAACATGACTCACACGTACAAATATTTACACAGTGCTTTGGTCTGACTGTGCACTGGGCAAAAGGAGTTCTTACCCTAGTTTTTGTAACCTCTTCTTTACATCTCCTCCCATCCCATGTTAGAAAACTAGATACACAGCCCCTTTTGCTGTTCTTATCACTGTTTCATGATATATTCTTGCCATTATATTAGAAGTGGAACTCCCTTAAGAGCATCACAGCACTCGTATTAACACAAAACGGATCAGGAAAAGGGTACTCAGATCTCTTCAATTCATGTATTACATTTTTGCTAATGAACTCTATCTCAGCACTTGCAAAAATTACATTCAGACTTGTTCTTCAGGGTTGAAACTATAAAACTTCACCCTCCTGTGAAAAAACATATCTTCAGCCCACCTGCCTTTAACTTCTGCAAAGACAACCCCCACGAAAGTTGATGTATGCAAAGAAGCACATGCTGTCTCACGGGTGTATATATAGATTAATCTTTGCCTCCACGAGTGTTTATTTGCTCTTTGGATACTTCTAGGCATTACAAAAGAAACGCTGGCACCTTTTCCCCAGGAGAAGTGATCCTATAGTCATCCCTGTCCTCCTGCTAACCCTCACAGATTCTTCCTGCTCAGGATGGCACAGACAGAACCCAACCACAAAAGATAGCTCTTCAATAAAAAAATGTAAGAGAACTGCAGCATCCTCAGTGGTGCAGCACATGAAGAATAACATCATGGCAACTCAAACAGATGACTAAACCCTGTTTGTACAAGGTGATTTGCAAAAGTGATACAACCTATTTAACCACTTGTAATTCTGGCCTAACCTTCTGCGAACGCCAACAAGCTAATTTAAAAAAAAACAACTTAAAATAAACCCTAAACAAGTATCCATCAGTAAAGCACTTTTTGTTTCTATAATTCTGCCATGTCCATTAGTAACAGAGTCTGTGAAAAGCTGCTACATCCATCCTGACGCAGTTCATATCTGGCTGCAGTTTCAAGTTGCGTTCACATCTTTAGGACTTTTAGTCTTCACTGAAATCATGCTGAATTACACATTCTACCTGGCAAAGGCCAGTTTGTACAGAACTCCAGACCAAATAGCTGGGACAGCTGAGGCTAATTCCCTTAACAGAAGATATTTTAACCACAATTCTGCACATTCAGTCAGCAGCTTTACAGCAGCAGCCATAACACAAAGGAGCCTGAATGCTTCATCTTGAAAGGAGGACTTTTAAAATAGAAAGCACAGCAAGTTAAGTGACTGTTCACCTTTGTGCACAAAGAGCTACTGAGTTGTGTTATGGAGAAGCACCTGAGATTCTAGACCATGCTCCCAACACCAGCAACCTGTTTGTGTTTGCCAGAGACATCACCAAGCAAACAAGATGTGTTCAGGAACCTGAAATTCTCACTTGCCTAACTTTGCATTAGGAATCGGAAATAAAGAATTAATTAAATATCCCAGATCACATTTAAACTCCTAAGTAAATACTGAGCAATTGATGCAACTCTCAAGTTGTAAACACAGCTGTATCAACAAGAACGTTCTAAGCAGTGTCCCAAAGTTCAGAACAACACTGTTAATTGTGGAAGTTTAGAACAAATCTAATAATCTAAGATGCACCACTTCAAGTGGATCATTAGTGCAATAAAAAGTAGCAATCATATTTCTTCATAAACTGTAATGATAGTTAATTTAAGCTTCAGAGTTATCTGCCACAATGTGCACTGCAAGTCTAGTACTTGTCTGGAGCTGCACCGAGTGTGGAAAAAGTAACTACCCAAGGTGCAAACCGTGAAGCTAAAATAAAGCCACACTAATGTCAGTAATACAGACTAGGTGTGTGCTGGACAGGACAGCTGCACATCTGGATGAGATCTGATATTCAAAGCACTGTCTGTCAGTGTTTCACCCTGATCTAAAACACAAGGGACAGACACACAGGATACAGATCTAATTCTGTCCTTGGCAGAGTGCTGGCATCACCTCCTTTATTGTGGATCCTTCTGCTCCTGAACCACTTTGCCTCAGCTCAGAGTGGAGCAAGATGAATTAAGAAACACAGATGAAAGTTAAACACAGACACAGAAAATGCAAAGGTTCAAAAAGGGATGGAAGCTCCTGCTGGCAGAAATCAATGTCCAGATGAACTGGGGGAGGAGACAGAAGTCTAGAAACAACTTCAAGGCTAAATTAGAGATCATCTAATACTAGTAAAATTGCTTATGCACCATCCACAGAACAGACAAAATAAAAGCACTCAGACATAAAAGAACAGGGTGGGAGGCTGTGGCCACCAGAACCAACTACCTCCAGAAGCTGGAGTCCAAAATTAGCAAACTGCTTCTACAGACACACAAAAAGGCACAAGACTAATTTTCTCCTTCGGTGGTAACCCCAAGAGGACAATGTTATCCATCAGCTTAATCTTATAAATTAGCACAGGTTGTGATTTCACCCCAAGTATGTCAGGATGATACTAATCTACATAACATCTTCCTTCTTCAAGAAATCTTGCAGAAACTAAATACACAAGGAATGTGTTAGAACAACATAAAGGCAGCACACCAGAAAATGCACAATTTCATATGTCAGTTTAGGCATACAACACTATGATTAATTTTTTGAATACAACTGTATGGTTTTTCTGCAGTCCTGGCCTCAGCCAGCAAACGAGGAGGATCTGCTATAAAGATGAGTGTTTTGTAAGAACAGGCATTTGACAAGAGCAACCCTGCCTTGCCCAAAGATGAGTGTTTCGTAAGAACAGACATTTGACAAGAGCAACCCTGCCTTGCCTGATGCAGAGGTGGAAAGATGCTGAATAAAAGGGCTTATGGTCTGGGCAAAGAACTTCTGCTCAAGGAAAACTAGATATCTTTGCCTTTCAACAAAGATTTGGTGACACGATGCAAGTCATTAAGGTTGATCATTTTTCAAAAACCACTACCCAAGAGCTCTTCAATCTCTGGGCACCCATCATAACCTTTATTTGCAATCATAGAATAGTTTGGATTGCAAGAGACCTTTACAGGCCTCCAGTCCAACTCCCTGCAATGAGCAGGGACATCTCTAACCAGATCAGGTTACTCAGAGCCTCATCCAACCTGAGCTTGACTGTTTTCAAGGATGGAGCACCCACCACCTCTCTGAGCAACCTGTACCAGTATTTCATCACCCTGATCATAAAAAATTTCTTCTTTAAATCTAGTGTGAATCTACCCTCCTTTAGTTTAAAACCATCAACCCTTGGCCTGTCTCAAAAGGCTCTACCAAAAGTGTGCCCCACTCCTGTATGAGCCCCCTCTACTGAAAGGCTGCAATGAGGTTTCCCTGGAGCCTTCTCCTCTCCAGGCTGAACAACTCCAACTCTTTCAGCCTTTCCTCACAGTCTTACCCAGCTGGACAGAGCTGCAACTGAAGTCAAGGAGCCAGGACGTGCACGTACTAGATAGATACAGTCAGATGTAGGCACCTCAACTTTGGTGACCAGCACTAGAAGTCTTTTGGGGTGGTTTGTGGGTTTTTTTTTCCCAGAGTTCTCTGAAAAGCATTTTAAGCACTGTACCTTGAAAGCTTGAAAAGCAAGTTTTTGGCTTGGATACACACAAAGCACACACAAGGCTTGTGCTGATCATGGTAACAGAGTGAGGTGGTCACAAATAAGGTGAACAAGCTCAGCTATTAGAGAACACAGGACAGAGCCAGACAGTGGCCTCATGATAAAAAAACAATCATACTAAGGCACAACAATACTTGTCTGCAAGGGCAATATTGTATTTGTACACATTATTTCTGAACAAGAAAGGTTCCCTCTCACAGGATCAGCATCTTAAGGGTCTTCCTGAATGAGCACAAAGACACTCAAATTAAAACCTCAACCATTCTGTTTACACACACGGGAATTCCACAAACCCCAGGTGGCAATTAACATGCTGTAATGAGTTCTGTAATGACAAAGTAGTCACCTCAATTTACATAGAAGGCAGTGAGGCCAAAAAACACTTAAATCACTTCTCTGAGGAACAAACAATAAGAAAACTGAAATGGTGCAGTCTGAACTGATTAAAGAGCCTGCTGCTGCCACAAAGAAAAGGAACACCTCATGTGTCACACCTGCCCTGTACTCCACTGAGAGACCCTGTCCTGGCAAAACACACTTCACCATTCTGACACGACTCAAACTGGCACCCACCAACGGGGCCCAGCAGGGTGAGAAACACCTCAAAGCAAAGTATTTCATCAGCTTATGCCATGTCACACTAGTTAGCAGTCAAAACCTCAGGGGGAAATCTGGGAACGACTCCTGTGGCCTCTCAACGTTCAGACATCAAGCTCTGAAATCAAACTTCACATTTGAAGTTATACCTGGGAAACAGATGACCAGTTTGTAACAGGAGTTGGAGCTGAACAGCCTATTTTGAGTACACAGCTCAAATGTCCTGCCCTTCTTGATCTGTCATCCCTCCAACATTACACAAGATCAGCCAGACCTAGCAGAGCCATGGACAGAGATAACAAAGAGATAAAACACCCAAGAGACCTTTGTG